TCTTTCCCTCTCTATCTCGTTCCGCCGACACCGGCCGCCCGCGGAAAATTAAGTTACGCATGCTCGTGACAGGCGTCCGTGGAAGAAACGAATGGACAATGCGCGACCGCACTCAAAACTCTACGCGATCCTCTCCAGTCCGGTGAAAATCCTGACAAAGAGTCGCGAGCCTCGCTACCACCCTCCCACTCACCACCCTTATCCCCTTGTAATCCTTGTCATTTCGAAACGCCGCGGAAACGGGAACGACGCTGTGCAACGGGAGAAAGAAATTGAAAAACAAGCTTGGGCATCGAACTACTCGATGGCACTTTAACACAATCCCTGCGTTGCTTGCTGTCACTGCTGGTGAGCTTTACGTTTTTAAGGTTTTTCGACCCTTTCTATGCTAGCTAGGCTTCGTCAGATGATCCCTTATATTCTCTGATATCGAATTTTATACAGATAAGCTAATAGTAGGTATACTGATCAGAAACAGGCGATGTTTATATCCACAACACAATACACTGATAAAATACTTGCTACCACGGGGTAACACCTGAACCTTCATCGATCTTCTGGCTACTAGATTCGATTACACATGATTATGTTAAAATACTGTTCACATTTTCCAATCTGACCACCCCAAATTCTTCGGGATATCGTTAACGGGATCAGACTTCGTTACAACTTTTCCATTAAAGCACTTCGCTAACGACCGTACGCTTTCCCAAGTAATTATGCGTTCGACGAGAATATGTACTATACGCTCGAAATCGATCGCAGGAACGATCCGATAATGGACCCCCGGGTGAAAAGCAGGCGTTTCACAGGCGCAGGGGTGGGAAACAAGGAGGTGTGACGCGGAATTTGACTCTCTCGGTGCACCGGAAGCGAACGCGGTTTTTGCAGCGGAAATCGACGGAGCCGCTATATAATCGCACGCTTGGTCGTTAGTAGCGGGTGCCCGCGGGCGACATTCAACCCTTGCCGCGCCGTGAAACCAAGCAGCCACCGACCCCTCTCGTTTCCCCAGCACCACTGGCGCTCTCCCTTTTCCCTACATCGTGAACCTGCGTTACCACCCCCGTGACACCTCGTCGTCACACCAGACGCGCGCGGTGCCCTATTCTTTTCTCGGCGTCACTCGCTGATATTTGGTTTTCTTTGATTCCGCGGACGGCGTTCGCCTGTGATTAGAGAAAAGCTTCTCTCCGCGGCTTCGTTCTCTTTTTTTTTTCTCCTCGCCTCTTCATCCCTCCCTTCTCCTTCCAACGCCACCTTGTTCGCCTCGTTCCTCCTACCACTTATCACGACCAAGCATCCGGTATCTGTATTTTTACGTTCTTTTTATCAAAATTTGTTCGTTTCCAGCGTTTCTTTCGCTTCTCGTGACTCGCTGACGAAGCATACGAGATCCGTGAGGTTGAAACGTAAATTTTTCCTGAAAATCGAATTTTATTTCGTTCAAATTACTCGGCCGCCGACACTCGAATATTTTCCCTGTAATTTGCTGAAATAAATGCGCGAAACTATAGGCTTTCATACTATGCGCGGCTCCGCATTCGTTACCAAACTCCACGGGAAACCGTAGAGACCGAATTTATTTTCGGTCTGTTAAAAGTGGGAGCCCCGGTGCAGCTGCATCTGTACACGGCTCTGCTTGTATACGCGAGGGTGGTGTTTTTAATCCTTTTTTCTTTGTTTCGAGCACTAGTTTTCCTCTGTCGACACGGCAACGATGTTTCGGTGGGTCGGCCACGATTTTCCAACTTTCGCGCGTTCCTCTGTCGACGAAGCCGAGCGTTTGTTAACGCGTCGGTTATAATATCAAAGCAACGCGGTGCATGCCTTTTCCATTTGCGCCCCGCTCTTTGATGGATTTTCTTTTGATTCGATACGAACCACACCACACCGCCCGCATACGCTTTCGGCTCTCTTTCTCACGCAACTCCGCAACGAGCGGCCTCTACGTGTTATCCAACGCCGCGAAAAATCTTTTCGCATCGTCGTGGTTAGTGGTATTAGAAACCATTGTTGTTTTCTGTCAGTCAGTCACCGCAAATGAGAAAGATCCCTTCAAGAGTTTGTCCTCATTTCCTACCTTTAATCCCCACGTTTCCTTCTTTCCATGAATCTGCTCAGCGCTTCTTTGCTCGAGAAACGAGTTTCACTTGAAATACTTTCCTAGAATCTTATATTCCGGTTGAAACGATATTTTCCTTTGTTTTCCATAGAGTTAACCGTTATCAGTGGTGAGTGTATAGGACGTTTTGTTTTTATAGAAATGTCTACGTACAGAAAGAGTATTCCGAAGAGTGCATCAGCGATTCAGATGTACATACAAAGAAAGGGCATCGTTCGTTTCAGAGACTTGTCGATGTTAAAAGCTTCCCTTTTGTGTATCTAGTCGCACGAGGTAGGATATGGCGCAGGGCAGAAGAGAGGCGAGATCGAATGTTCTCCCAATGGGTCATGGGGGATCCGTTTCCAGCTCGGAGTGCCAGAAAAGATTCGTTCTCCCCGAGTGCCGGCGGCGGCACACCATAGGGGTAGAGAAAGGGGGCGCGAAGTGACTTTTTTTCGAAGGTCGCCATTAATTTCTAGAGGAACGCAAAACCAAAGACCGGCCGCCGCCGTGCGCGCGTTACGAATACGCTCTCGTGGCAACGGAGCTTCCTGACGAAGTCAATTAAGCCCTTTTGTAACAAGAAACACTGGCAGAAGTGGGAAGTGCTGGTGGCGAAAGGCGAAGTGGTGGGGTGTTCGTTACAAGAACCACGGCAGCCACGTCGCGTTTACGCTCGTAGCGTGATTCATCGTGGTGCTCTTCTTTCGTTGTTATACCTCTTCGCCCCTATCCTTATCGTGGCAATTAACGTTGTTAAAAGTCGATGCCGTTCGATTGATTTTCGCAGGTGCAAGAACTTCACGACAACGAAGAGGATCGGGACCGCTGGAAATCCTAGCCCGGTCCGTATGCCGCACGCCCATTCGGAAACATTTCGGCAATTCATTCATTACATTTACACGGGCAAGGTAAATACTTTAAGAAAAGTATAAGGCGTATAGTATCTTTGAACATTAAGGAATAAGTATGTATGTAGAAGAAAAATTATTCTAGCAGAAGTTGCATGATTCGGAAAGGGGTTAAAATATGGTAGATATATTTGCTTGTAGGTGGAATTGCTTTCGATATCTGAAGATCTTTCCCATTTTTAGAGAAATATAAGTTGTGTAACTGATTCTCGAATTAATAGAATGATTCATGAGGCAACTGTGTAGCATGAAATTAATAGTATTTTGTACCACTGCAATCTTCCGATTGTATATTCTATGGGTGTTCTTATATTGAGGAATTTACAGAAGTAATAACATTTTCTATTAGAATAGTTTTTATCTAACATGTTCTTCATAACATCGGTTAAATATATTTCCTTTTCCATTTGTCGTCTCAAAAACAGTAAATGTGGTGATGATTGAAAGTTTCACGCTGTCCTAAAGATATGCTCGAGTTTCAACCAGTAACGTGTCTATAGATCATGCTACAGGACAGTGGCATCTTCGAGATGTTGGGACTCGCTCAAGAACTCGGAGTCGAGGAACTTTGGAGAAGTTGCGAGGAACACGTCTCTGCCACTCTCAGCCCCGGAAACGCGTGTGCTCTTTTGACTGCAGCCTTGGATGCCCAAGAACGAGTTCCAGGTAAGTTATTCATGGTATCCTATTAAAAGTTGAAGTATCAAACAATTCCTATTGTCGAAGTTGCCGATTTCGCCCTCCCCCGAGAGACGTGGGGCGTGAAACTTCAAACGCTTGGCAAACATTATCTTTTTAGTTACACATCTAGAATGTTAAGTGTTTCCCGTGCTCCTGGATAATTATTTTGAAACGTAGCGTAACATGAATCGCAATATAATCTCTCCATTTATATGTTATTTTATTGGTTTTCTTAAATATATTTGATGACTGATAATAATTAGGCTTCTATGATCGAAAAGTTATGATATTTTTTTTGATATGGTAAGAAAATTCTCTAATTAAGGTTTTTTTATTTTTTTTAATTTATGAAGCTCCGTTTTATTTTGTATGGTTAGTTATCGACCATGTCCTGCTTGTGGTTGACACGCTTGCCACTGAGGCAGCACGTTATAGGGGGATTTTACGATATCAGGGATACCAATAGTTAAACATTTATCCCTATCAAACTTGTCCATTTAGTTTTCTGCACTCTACAAGGTTCTATTTTGGATTGATTCGTCAGGTCTTCTTTTTCTGTAAATTCTATTATTTTAAACTATTTCTAAATTTCACGAAGACTCTGGTCAAATAATTAAGGAAAGTAACTAGAAGAAACAGTTGGTACGACGACGACGCCATATCTTCCGGCGTCCGGCGTCTACAAACCACGCGCTATCAAGTGTCGCCTATTAATTTTTGCAAAATCATAACAAAAATGTCGTACAAGGGACCACAAAAAGTCCAGAAGGTGATGGTACAGCCCATCAACCTTATATTTCGCTATCTGCAAAATCGTTCGCGTGTGCAAGTTTGGTTGTTCGAGAACATAAACCTCCGTATAGAGGGTCACATCGTCGGGTTCGATGAGTACATGAATTTGGTACTGGACGACGCGGAGGAGTACCATATGAAGACGAAGAACCGAAAACCACTCGGACGTATCATGTTGAAAGGCGACAACATAACATTAATACAAAATACGAATCCAGGAGCGAATTAAGTATAGAAGCCTGATCTAACCTCCAAGGACATTCTGGGAAGATCAACAAATGTATTTTTTTCGATGTCTCATTTGAAGATTATGTGTGTGAATTGTACGCATGAATAAAGTGATGACATAAACATTAAACGAGGACAATGCTAACACCATAGATGTTATAAATGTGACACGTAACACAAGACAATTAGGATGAACAATGATAAATTGACTAGTACCAATTGTCACTGAATATCATAGTCATGTTATAATGACGATATTGTTCTGTAATGGGAAACGAATTTGTTATCATAACTTTGTATTTCTGAAAGGATCCAGGACATTTGTATGTTAGAAACTGTACCTACAGAGTCTGCTCATTCCAATGAAAAACTGCAATACATGTTAGACTCGTGCATACAATATTCATTGTACTGACTTTTGTACTATTGTTTATCCTTTATGGAAACTGCAGATGTAAATATTACATGATGGAACAGTTATTGTAACGGATATGGAATTGACTTATGCTTAATAAATATTTTTGAATCACAGTGTATGTTTTATTTGTATGGAATAGTGTATTAAATTCCCTATGCCAAAATTTATTTTAGTAGACAGGCAATCCTCACATAACATTATGATAACGATAGAAACCATTACAAATATGGGAAATATATCTTGGAAGTCAATAAAATATATCATTTTCTTTTTGTAATTATTGAACAGTTAAGTTTTATTAAAATTAATATTAAACAGTTAGAATTTACTTGCTTTCACTTGAATTTAATAATTTTATAAGAAATTATGTTATGGATGTGTTACCTGTAATTTCACAATTGAACTATTATAGGAACATTTTATTTTCAATATAAAAAATTATATGAATTAATATTTTTCATTATCACAGGTGGTAAAGGAGCCTGTTCATCTTTCATTGAGAGATGTTTCGCGTTTATTGGAGAGAATGCAGTAGACACAGTTAAAACAACAGCATTCTGTAATCTTCCCAAAGATGCCTTGGTGAAGCTCATATCTTCGGACTACCTGGGCTTGGAAGAAGAGGATGTTTGGCGAGCAGTTCTGAGTTGGGCTAAATATCAGGTTCTTTTTCCTTCAGAATTCTATTCCGTTTCCGAGTACTTTGAATCCCTTGAATTCGAAGAAGACTTAACGTTCTGATCACACGTATGTCGTGCAAGGTCTCAGACCTTATGTCGCATACGATTATTACCGGGTCCTTGGGTCCTTAGGTTCTTGGATCGGAATTTAGAATTACGAGTTAAGGAAACGCTTAACCGTACGGACCACGCTCCTAGGCAGGGGTGACGCAGCCTACTCAACACTGGACAGAGGAGGAACGCGTGAGGGTTTGCCAACATTTATCGGGGGTGATAAATCATGTACGGCTGCTACTAATCGACAGCCAGGTGTTCGCGGAGGAAGTAGAACCGACCGGAGCAGTGCCAATAGAGCTATCCTTGGAGAGGTACGAATTTTTCAATCCCGATCGATCAAGCGGCTCGAAATTCCTAAGGTACGGTTTGCCGGGAAATGTTGTCTTTCTCGGAGGCTTTCGATTTTTACGGTTTGTTTTAGGTATAGGTATGCAGCGCTACCGAATAAATACGCCGAAATTTGCGCGGACAAGAGGCTACAACCAAGAGTCAGTCCATTCCTCTTCCCTGGGTCGCAGATTCTGTCACGGGATAAGATGGGCTTTCAGCGTCTTCTGAATCAGTGGTATGGATCGACAAAACAGAGCTGGCGTTTAGTGTACCGGTATGTTTGACTTATACATACAGTAACATTTATGTAGGATTAGGATTAGGTGCATAAATGTTGTTATGTTTCAGAGCCTCTAGTCATGGTTACTCGGCAACATCGTTTCATCGTCACTGCGATGGAGTTTGTCCAACATATGTGATTGCATTGGTATGTAATTCCAAATTCTTTAATCTTTTATGTTTAAAAGTTGTTTTAGAATTGATAGCTTTACTACTCAGCTGCAATTCAAAATATAACATTCCTTGATATAGGGAACCCGAGGGGAAATCTGTGGGGGATTTAGCGATGCGCCATGGGGCAAAACGAACGCCAAAGGACACTACATTTTCTCAGAGAAAGCTTTCCTCTTCACCTTAACAAACAATCAAGATGTACCTCCTACAAAGTACGACATTGTGAAGAAGCCATTTGCAATTTGCTATCATCCAGAGTAAGTATTATTGCTCCACTACCAAATCCAATTAAAACAGAATCTAATAGACTTGTAGAGTTCATTGAAACTCATTTAACTCTTTAATACTATTTCCAGCATTGGACCAATTTTTGGAGCAGGAGCTGATCTGCTTATTTCCAGTAATTGCAACGTGAACATGGAAAGTTATAGTAATCTTCCTCATAGTTACGATGGAGAACATGCTTCCAATACTGTTCTTATGGGAGATTACCATTTCTCTGTAGTAGACTATGAAGTGTTTACTCCTAGCTACCCAGTTCCAAAATCCACTCATTAAAACTATACAAATATCTTTCCTTTCATAAGTTTGTACATATATAGCTACACGAGTACAACATGAGATGGAAATGTACTATTAAAAATTAATGCATAAGAGTGCAGTTTGTTGTTCAGTTTAAAATTGAAGGTAAACTTAAATGTGCAAAGGGTACGATTAGCAGAAATATAATTTTTATACTTATCGGAATAAATATAAAATATGAACTACATACTTCTGACTAGTATTCTTATTTTTTCATGCAATGAAAGTTTATTGGGCTGGTGGGAAATAAGTGGAAACTTAATATTGGTTTATATATGACTTATTATGAAGAATGTTAAGTTTCTTAAATTCTTCTAAATTTTAAAAGTATTGGCTGCTAGACATATCATTTCCTACCAACTTAATATGTAGATGTTGATGAATTTGTAATTTCTATGATCATTAAATTGGTTCTGTATGCGTTAAGGAAGAGACGATCGAAATCGACCAAGATTAGCTTGCAATTAAGGATTTGGCTCCGAACCGGATTAAAGTATGCCAAACAATTGTTCGTGTCTTGAATAATGAGTGCTTAAGATGGTTCGGTACACAGACCGGTTCCCAAGAAGCTTGTTAAATCACGCGTTAAATTGTGAACAGATGGCTTCGAAATCTAATCTGTATTACAGCGGCGCGTTCGAAAGTAAACGTGAAATGTGAAAATCCACGGAAAAATGCGAACTGCTGAATACCTATTAGACTATCAAAGGTGCCGATGACACGGATGTACGAACCATGTCTGTCGGTACGTTCGATAAGTAAGATCCGTGCCTATTTCACTTATCGTCAGCCAAAATTTAAATCTCTCGCGACAAAAGCACGCAACAATGTGCCGTACATACAGTAACGGACTACTTAAAACGGAACATGTAGAAAATCGACCGAAACGATTGTTTGGCGCTTTCTTTTAAATTGTTGCGATAAAATTCCCACTTACCATCCTTCCGCCATGTTCTCCTGGTACGAGGCAACGCTTATCCACCGGTTGAAACGGTAAACCAGGAATAGAGCACTCGGAACATTTCACACAATTATAATTATCATAACCGCCCTTCGTTTCACATATTTTAGACGATAATTAACACTCACGTAAATAAAAATACTATTCGACTGGACAACGGTTACGCGACGACTCGAGACCGTTAACCACCACTGCTTCATATTTCACTATAACCGTCAACCGATAACCGTACGATATTGCAAACGTCTACACTACGAATTCGATCGACAATGAATCAATTGATACCACCTATATGTGGTATTCGCGGAAAATAAATAAATAGTTAATCTTTTCAATCGGGACGAAATTTCGTGCCGCGCGCCCGTTTAATCTTTTCACCGTTAGAGGTGTCCAGTTCGAGCGTTCCACAATTCATATTTTAGTTCCGGGTTCCACCGTTTCTGGTATTTTCGAAATGTGTAGTGGCGCGGTGTGATGTGCTCTGAATTGCTCTCTGCATTTTGTGACTTTTTTGCGGAAACACATTGTTCCTGCTGGTGAGTTGCGTAATTACTTAAAATATTCATTTCAAACTGTTCATTGAACCTAATATTTACGATTCTTATGTAAAACTATCGCAAAAAATCGTATATCCATGCTGCAGCCTTTCCTTTACGTAGGTTCTATACATTGCATTACACTCGTTTCATTCGACATTAAAACATAAAAATTCGAAAAACACGTTTCACCTGACGTAACTGATATTTGAACAAGAGCTATTTATATTCTTTGCGGAGTCAGCGTTTTTATAGATACTTGCGAACGGAAGAAATTTTTCGTGCGAAAATTTCAACGTGCGCATTAAATATTCATATACAGGGGGCTCTGCGCAGCGGCCATCTTTCCTCTAATTTAAACATACCTACCTTCGATTCCTATTCCTGTCGTTCCTATATCCCAGTTCAAATTCCTTCTGTTTAATCTTTCTGAAAATCATTTTTCACGAAGACTTAGGAAATTTTTGTATTACAGAAATAATTAAAATATCATTTAAGTGTAAGAATTATTATTTCAAATGTGTTTGAGAGTTCATTTAAAAATCAATATTTTTATTTCTCATTTCTTTTCAGTGAAATATCCATTTAGATTTTATTGAGTGGTCTAACTATCATGTATAATTTGAAATATCACGGGTTTGGAAGTACTTCTTTTAAATAATAATCGAATCTCAAACGAACCGTATATTTTTAACAATTTTTCTCGATTTGTTCGTCGCGTTCTTTGTACAAAAGAAAAACGATCGCGTGATAGCTTGGCCTAGTTTCACGCGTTAACTAGTTTAATGTGGCAGTGAGTGGCTTCCGTAACTCTAATGAATCGCTAATTCAACAATTTAATGGTCGACGTGTTACAGGTGTGCGCCGGAGGAGTCACAACGTGTGTCGATTACTTGGCTAGCCGGAACGTCGCCAGCAACGATACAACGAAACGTGAGTGTCTGAATAACTTTCATGTAGACTGTATTTACAAGAATAGGGCCCAGGAATTGATGGATTTGTACTTTACTTGTGAAATAGCTTAGCTTTATGGGTGGTGTATCAGTCTATAGAATAGTAGCAGTAACGAGTACTCGGAGGAATTATATTAAATGCATAATATATTTCTATTTTTATTTCGCAAAGAATGCCGCGATTAATTTACAAAATTATTTAAAATAACGAAATACACTGTTCAAGATAATTCGCGATAATTTATTCCAATGTGGTAACCAATGTTTCATATGTTTAGTATTTACTTTTACTCGTAGGTGCTTCAATTATTCTGAACAGTGTAATTCATTGATCTATGTACAAGTAAGTACTGGCCCGGGTCCCGTTCGCACAATTGCCTATTTACCTAATATTTACACAATCGTTTCCGCCTTAATCGCTAATTGAGATACTTCGGTAAAAATCATGTGTCCTACGGTGCTCCCACCCGCGTATGGGATTCAATTAAATAGTATACATCTACGATTGCACGTGTCCGAAGTTCGGTGTCTAGATATGATTCAACAATATTTAAACAAACCATGAAATACTGGCCATTTATTTGACTACCTCGATAATCCTCGAATAACAAGTGTCTAACAAAAGCATAAGTGTATATAAAACCATTAACAATATCTTCGTTGTGGTGTAACGTTGAAAATTGAGAAAACGCGTTCAACGTTATCGATAAACAAAATATTTTAAGGAAACGTACCCTGCTACGTATTTACAAAAGTTTATGTACAATGATCATAGGATTTCATTATCCAACAACACTCTACAATCTTTAATCTCGCGAATATTTGTTACAAACTAAACGTTACACCGGATGTTTTATATCACATAGGAATATACAATCAGGGTGGGTGGAAATTGAGTATAAAAGACTTCTCCACAGTATAGTCCTTCACGAATCCCATTTCAATTTGACGAATTTTCCATTACCCATGAGTAAACGATTTCCAACCTCAGATTGCCTCCTACATATTAAAAAACACCCAGTGTATTCTTCGTTGTATGGAAATTGTCATGGGACACTCTTCGAAAATCTCTCGCCTTGTGGTCCATCGATGCCAACATTTTAAGACCGTCGTTCGGTCTCCGCCGTATGCTCTGGGTGTCGTGCTAAAAGCAAATCTGTGTTCCACGAGTCTAGGGCTCGGTCGGCCGGCCCCAAGAGGCGGGAAAAGTATCGTCCTCGATGGGCAAGGGGAGGATCGGTGTTCGGTCGTCGCCCAGAGAGAGTACAGGCATTTCACCGAAATTCTCGTGGCTCTCTGTATTGATGAGACTCACACATGGTCGTATCCCGCAACAGACGGCTCCAGTGGTGTCGAACGAGCATGATCCTCAATATCGATGGAGATTCTTCGCGCAAGAGCAAATAGGTGCCGGGGACAAAAGCAGAGAGAAGAGGCGGCACACAGACCGGCGCGGCGACGGAGGCGTTTACATTGGCAGGCGTCGAACGCTTGTAAGATAAAGCGGTTTGCAACGTTCTACACGTGTACGCCGGTTTGTAACGCACGTTCCGAACACGTGCACCCCGCAGTTTGACGTGTTTATCAACCGATGCACCGGCTCCGTCGGCTCTCCCGCTTCCACGAATGCGTCGCCCCTGCGCCAGACCATTTCTGTCCCTCTCTCGCACGATAACCGCGAGAGCTAGGGGAACGCGCGCGTGCTCGTTAATTAAAGCGGAGGACTCTCGTTAAAGTCGATTGGCTTTTGCGCAACCGGCAACCATCGATCGGCGACTCCGCGATCCTCGCCGTGATTACCCGGAATTGAGACGTTAATCCTTCATTCTTCCACAAGCCGGCCGCGGGTATTTACGCGAGAACCGCGCGAATCACGTTTAACGATTCGGCGCGAATGATTTGTCTCCGCGATCGGCGCGCTCCGATCGGTACCGATCGTGTGATTCCAGCAAGGTCTGGGGAATGCAATTAACGACGTGGCCTATGGGTTCTGGGAATGTTAGCCGACTCATCGGAGAGGGAGAGTCTTCTTAATTGACGTTCGATGATCGGGGGCAAAAAGTGAACGTAATTGATTACAATATCACGTATCCCTTTCTCACGCGCCGTATTTGGGAACTCGAGCGTTCGAGTAACTCCTTTCCACTTTCCTGTCCGTCTTTGTATAAACAAACGTGGCCGTCGACTGTCCGAGCGAACTTACAGCCTTGTTGCAGGCTAACGGGAAAAGAGGCCTGGATCGAGAGATTTCTTTCTCCTAGGATCTCGTTGTTAGGTCTATCGGTGCTGGTTTCCTTTTTAGAGGTGGACTGTCTCGATCGCTCACGCTCTCCATGTCGATTTCGTCGTCCTCCGTTTCGTTCCTCGTGGGAGTGGTGACCGACTTCATCGATAGGTCCATGGGGTTGTCTTGGGGCGGGGGACAATCCGCTTCCGGTTTGGGACTGCAGACCGGTGAACCGTCTTCGGAACGCTTGATGGACGCCGGAGAACCATCCGGGCGTGTTCGTTGGCTCTTCAGCACCGCATCTAAATAGAATCGCTTCGTGTACGTTTCCCCTGTCTCTGTATTCGGCGAGGAACTTTGCCTGGACGTTTGCACGTTGTGATTATGAGCGTATCGGTCGTTGTTATTGTTATTGGTCTCACAGGAGTCCTTGGTATCGATACCGATCGTGGTGGTGGTCGTGGTTGTTGTGGTAGAAATAGCGCTCGTTGTGTCTTCGATCACGGGAGAGTGTCGAAGAAGGTTCGTCGAATGGTTCGGTACCAGTGGATGCGAGGCTCCGTGAGAGGCGTACAGATGGTACGGGGAGAACATGGTGAGACTCGGCGGTGGAAGGAAGGCAGGTGGTAACAGAGACATGCCACCGAGGTGGAAGCCAAGGGGCAGACTCATCATTTCTTTGCTCAGCGCCGAGAGATCGGCCACGGAGGGCTGCAGGTGCGAGTGCAGTGGTCTGAACCCTGGATGACCGGAAAAGGCTGCTCGTCTTTCGGATATCTCCACGGAACTGTCGCTGTTATGCGATTCTGGTGAACTAATACTGGGCGATGTGGAATTCTTGTAGTCGTCCAAACCAAGCATCAGCATCTCGTCTTTTCGTTGGCCAGCGTGAATGCCAATGGGTGGACTCATAGGCTTCCTCTGTTGCTGTGCTAGGGGTTGGTTCGACAGATTCTGCTGGAAATGATGTTGCTGTTGTTGTTGTTGTTGTTGCTGCTGCTGTTGCTCTTGCAGTAGACAGTGAATTTTGAACCAGTTCGATCTGCGCCCGTACCGCGAACCAGATTTCGACATGCCCACCAGAAGACATTTCCTTAAACGACAGGCCTTACAGGCTGTTCGATTCTTCTTGTTGATGACGCACTCGCCGCCATTCTTGCATTCGGATATGCTGCTCAGGTTGTTGTAGGATCTCCCGAAGAAGGACTGTAACAAATGAAGGATACAGTTCATTATTGTTAGTGCGGTGATTACAGTAACGTAATTTTATTTCTCAGAACGGAGAAAGATAGAGGACGCTTTAAATGTAAATTGGAACCTCGAATGATTCGGTAAATGACGCGCAGAGCGACTGCAACGAAACGCGTAATGAGTATACAGGGTAGTCGTTAGTCGGTAATAGTGTGCTCTCGTTGTCTCATTCATGTTGTACTAGAGGGCAACCAACCGGTGTAGGCGCGTGCGGCCTACTATACTCGTGCTAATTGCCCAAATGGTGCAATTCCACGATTCCGACACTGTCGACTTTCGTGTTCCACAGCTAGAGGTAGTCTCCCCTTTCATTCGCATAAATTCCCACGTCATTTCTGTTAGATTTGCCTAAGCGTGCGCCCGTATGCTGATGCGTTCTGATTCGAATCAATTAGGTATATCCACCGAAAAATACTTCTCATACCAGCGACGGTATTGCGCATCGAGTTATCCTAAATATACACGCGAGCAAGGAATCCCAACAGACGTCGATTACGAAACTCTGGCACGATTTAAGACCTCGTTCTTTATAACAGACTTCAAAAGAATCGGCCTAGTGGCCCCGAACTATGCATTTAATACTCGCCGCGTATCGCTCCGAAACACCTACAGCTTCCTGTGTGTAAACCGCCGCTGGAAAATTTCGCCCCTCGCGGTAATGATCAGCCTTTTAAAGGAGAGACGCGAAGTACGTAGACGCACACGACATACCATCATCCACTTTCGCTTTTTCTGTTCGTACGCACGCTATATTATTAATTGTTTCTGGTTCGTTTGATCTGAAAACGAGCTCTTCCTGCGGCCCACTGGTCCCGATGCGCGGCTTGCGTCGCCGAGGCCCACGGGGCCCGCCACCGTGTTCCACTTGACTTTACCGTCTACCATCGTCGTATTCGTCGTCGTCGTCGTCCTCGGTGTCGTCGTTCAATCGTGTCTGAGCGGATCGTCGGTCTAACGTCGGGGGCCCGGTCGAAGGAGCCGAGTGGGGCCCGTAATCAAGCCACGGGAATACGCGCGACGCTTCAGGAGCGATGACACAATCGAGAAAATTCTACCGTTATTACGTGCCTCGGTGGGTCCCTCTCTCCCCTCGTCTAACATCGTCGGTACACATACACTTCGAGATTATGCAAACGGCGGAGAGGGCTCCACTTCGAAACCTCGACGGTGCCTTTTCATCGTCGAACCTTCCAGCGATTGTTACGGTTTCCTTTCGCAAAACTCTGACCCGCCGATAAATAGACCGGCTAATTACGCCACGGTGAACTTTCTTGGCGTAAAGAAACGTATCTCTGACTCACGCCGCGGGAGAAGAAAAAAAAAAAAAAGAAACAACGACCGACCGGCAGCCTGAAATTGCCCTCCTCCTCAATGGACGAGGATAATGAACCATTGTATCGTTTCCACTGGTTTTCTGGCTTATTACGCGCGCTGTTCGATAAATCGCCGCGACGGAATCGCTTCGCGAGTGTCGGGCTTCGTCAAGGACCCTCAGAGAGACACCGTCGCGCGTTCGTCGTAAGTTTCACCTTTACGCGATGGTTTTAATCGTGAGACATATCTACACGGCGGGGGAGAGGCAGTCATTGTGGCCGTGTGCGCGAGCAGCACGTGCACGTTTCGTCAATTCGTTCGGTCGGAGCGGCTTCGAGGCGGTGCTTCCGGCGCTTCGCACTTGTCTGCCACAATTGTTTCCGCCCTAGTTCACCATTACGTCACCTCGACATTGTTTCGTTTCGTTATTTTCGTTTTCAGGCCCATCGTAGCATGTCAGCTCCCCCGCGCGCGTCTCCTCGTTCCCCACTACTAACGCTTCTCGTTCCCCTTTACTGCTCGACTCGCGGCCCGTACGAAAGACACGGAATACTGTATTACGATTTTTTGACTCGATACGATTGTAAATATTTTAGGATTAATCGTCGAATAGGCGATTTATTTGATTCAATGTAGTGCAAAGTCTTGGTGATTTGGATAGCCCTTTTTGAAGAGTTAAGAATTTAAGAGTAATACTTTGATTTTATTTAACAATTTTCTATCAAGGTTAGACCAATATCGTCTGTACAATTATCAGTTACTATTTTTAAACGTATTCGTGGTTCTAATTCTTCGAAACTGTAATTGGACCTGAAACGGGACCATCTGTGCGCAATATATAACTGTTCACCATTTCAACCAAATCCGATCGCTTTCGGGAGTTCGATTGACACGCATGCCTGGTCAAACGTTTAACCTCGGCCACGAAGCATTTCGTGAAAGCGATCAGCGTTTCACGGTTTTACGAAACTGCGGTAAAGATCGCCGCGAATAACTCGCAGAAAAAAAAGAACAAGAAGGAAGTGAAAAAAATTCACGAGCCGAGTGGTTTGCTCCGAATCGTACTTAAGAATGCTTTTTGCCTCCGATCGTTGGCATCGTGCAATTCTATTTCAATTCTTCATTTTCGTGTATTTGGTAGAAATTTTCGAGGAAGTCTGAATGTATCGTGTATAAAAGATAACTCACCTTGCAGCCCTCGCAGGTGAACGCGCCAAAATGGAAGCCAGCCGCGGGCTCGCCGCACACCTTGCACTGTTGGTTCATCTGCAACAGAAAGATAATGGCTTTGTTTGAATTCGGCCCGCGTGATATCCAGGTTTCATGATACACGCTGTTATCTCGCGATCGCTATCAACTGAGTCCACGGACAGTCGTCTTTTCCAAGGATTCGTCATTCTTCCGACAATTATGCGCTTCCGTTATGCCGAATGACGAAACCGAGGGAAAACAAAATCAACGGTCGTCCCCCCAACGGCCCATCGCGACGTCGCGTAACCCATCGGGGTGGGGGGTTCTGTGTACGTTTAACGTTCGAAAAAATCACAATGCAGGCCTTATCGTGCGCCCACGACCGATCGCATGATTGAGAAAGAGAAGAAGGCTCGGTTGCGCAATTCCGCGGCGAATCGCTGGATCGTGGCAAAGCGGTGCGTGTTACGTTCAACGAGCGGAAAACCCTCGGTGTGCACTTGCCTTTTTCCCCCCTCTGTCCGAGCAGACCCGACACCGAATGGATCCGATTCCTTTCGCCTTCTTTGGCCGCTCGTCCAGAAAACGGACCGCGTTCTCGTTTTCACACCTCGACGATTTTATTCCACCGCCGCTCGTCCTCCCGTTTCCATTAATGTTACGACGAGATCGTCGATAAATCGATGGAACCGCTTCTGTTCGGTATCGTGAACAGTTTCGATCGGTTCGTGAAACTACGCAACGCTACGATACAGTTTTTACGACCGTCTCTGCACCGAGAATTCTAATGAAGCCCCCCCCCCCCCTCGTGGAATATGGGACAATAGTACTGACCCACATACGTACCCCGAGGGTACGCCGTGTCACTCGCCGGCGACTTTCATACATGACAGACTGTCGCTAAATGGGAAAGTAAATCTCAGCTAATGGAAGAGACATCGATTGTTTGATCAACGGAGTCTCTCTTTCCTGACCTACACCCCACAGTCGTTGACTCTTCTCATTCGCGGACGTTCGACGCCTCGACGTACCTATTATACTACTAACCGTAGGTATATACCTTTAATTCCGCGTTCGATTCTTTTTTTTTTCTCGAACCCTTCTTTAAACCTCCCCCCAACTCAAGCCGGTTCACGCGTCTCCTGAAGACTTCCTCGTCAGTGGCGTACTTTCATGCAGTCCGTGGACGTTCATTCATCTCGCGTCGCACAGACGAGATCGGTAAACAAACTGCACCCGGACGAAACATGTCGGGAATTTCGGTTTCTGTTCGGAAAGACAGGATAGAGAAAAAAAACAATAGGGGCGTAAGATTATGCCAGCGTTATTGCCACAACATTGATTTTCGAATCGAGCGGAAAAACTGGCGTATCCGCGCGCCCGCGCACGAGCACGATGAAGCAATCGTCGCGGTTTGCTTGGTGGACCTCGACGGTTGCCCCGGCGCGAAATCGAGCGAGCCGTGAGGAAGAAAGAGAGAGCGTCGGTTAATTGAATTTAAATGACGCACGTAATCTCGTTAAATACTGCCTGCGGGTCCATTTGATATTTGAAGGTGGCGGGGAAGAGAAGCGCATCCAGGCTTACCGGGGATTGGCCATGGCACCCCAAGAAGGATTGTTCTGCGCTATTAATTAGCTGATAGATGCTGGCGAATCGATACAACAACAACAACAACAACGCTCGTGGTAACACTCTCGATATACGGTGCGCGCGCGTGCAAGCCCGAGGTATCGCAACCTGCACTGATTGCAGGTGTGCATCCGGTAAGCCATTCAGGGGGTGCCTGCATACTCGAGCGTTTCACGTCGATGGCGGTTGCAAACGCGTTTATGCCATATTGTTACGGTCGCGTGTCGCAATATATATATGTATACCCGCGCCCGGTGATATGCACCGTGTTTTACCAGGGTTTAATAGAATAGAACGACGCAGAAAAGAATGATAGATGATTTAATGTTCTCCCCTTTTAATAAATGACTTTTAATTACGGCCTCTCCGCGGGCTCGATAAAACGGTTGATTAATTAAGCCCCGCGCGATCTAGCGTTTGCGTCCCGATGGGATCGTGTTTAGAAGTTACTTAACGAAATCGCTGCCTCCGCAGCGTCGCTAATGATCGTAACATATTGGAACGATAATTATTCCTAATAAATCCTGTGATTCCTGTGACCATACTGCGATCGATCACCAGGTGGGGTGGGTAGGGGAAGAAAAGTGAATTTTAATAGAGAAAGTCAAAGTCCCTTCTCGAGTGTCTCGATTCACCAGATTGCCGCAGGACAGACGAATCGATGATTGGGTATCATTGTTGTCTCGATACAGTTTTCCTATGATTTCCGTTACGAACGGATCCCCGCGGTGGGTAATCATTATAGTCAAGATCACCGAGGTTCGCGCCACCGAGGCCAGATTCACGGGCGCAATTGTTGCGATAGCCGATCGAGCCGTGAGAATCGTAACGACTCCTGGCGGCTCGTTACTCTCAGGCGCAATCGACTTCTTCTCCCCCGCGCCGATACTCCGTTTGATCGTCGTTGATTCCACGGAAAAGACACTGGATCGCGAAGGTGCAACCGCGGTGTGCACGTTTGTAAACCGTTCAAAGGGATCAATCCGTAAGTCCCTGCGTTCCCCAGCTCGCGGTGATTGTCCTCCTTTCTAGAGCTGACCTTCTCGATAAAAGACACTTAGCCGTTCCGATCTTCCGCTTTCAGAAAAGAATGGCAATCGATCCAGATGGATCCAGCTAGCGCGCACGTTTAAACTATTCCGTCCGACGACACGGCTAGACGAGGCCAGACGTGGCTAACTTCTTTCGAATTACCGGATTTTTTCTTCATTTACTATGCGCGCGTGAAAGTCGCACGTTGTATTAGCGGAACTATTTTAAATGACCGACGCCTCGTTACTTTCGTCGCGACACCGTGGAAAACAAGACGCCCGTAGAATTTTCCACCTTCTTTGGTTTTTCTTTTTCTCGCCTCGAACGACTACGGAAATCCGATTTGTGTTCCCGTTTTTCGACCACCGATTTGGGATCAGGCTTTTACGACCGTTGGGGGTGAAGGGCCCCCACCTATGCCGCGTCGTTAAAGTCTTTCGATGTTTTTCGTCGTTTACGCACCCTCGACTTTTTAATCTACACGTCCCTGCTCGGGATTGTAAACAAGAGAAAAAAAACAAAGGTCCGAGCCGCTTGTTCGACCGGCTTAAGTCCGTTATTCGCCTTTTTATTGATGAAAAATGGCTCGGGCTCTATTTTCTCGAGCCGTAAAGCGCCGAGCTTTGCCGACCGGATTGTGGATCGGCAGGGTGGGCCCACGACGCAGGTCACCTTTTTTTTACAACCCGGCTGCAATTATCGGGGACAATTTGTAATAAAAAGTAGCGGTCGTCGGTGCGACACTTTAAGCCTATATTACCCTGTGATTTTCGTGTTTTCACGACGGACTATGGAGCTGTATAAACGTTTTACTTTTTAATGCCATTGGTGTTTTCACCGACCTTTGTTCGTTCGACGTTTCGATTACCGTAAAGTTAAATTCAAAATAAAAAAATAAAAATTAAATTTCTTTTATTTTCAATTGTTTTTTAAGCGAGAGGCGTTAGTATGAGGTCGGGTCTTACACCTCCCGGCCTCATCTTCAACGCGATCCAGTTTGCAGTGTGCAGCTTCCGGTCTTTCGTAATGAAACGGCGTTCCGCAACGTGTGCTCCGGCGATCGGCCTTCGCGCGATGCAACGTGGACCGTTTGTTTCCGATGCTATTATTCCATCACGCTCTTCGATAACCCGATTCAGATTCGTATCTAACAATCGCGCAACGCGTCGAATACACCGCGAATGGGAACGCCGGCGACGCTTGCATATTCCGCGAGCCGATCTATTTACGCGCGATTGACGCTGTAAATCATCGATACGTACACGATCCCTTAATACACGTTCTATTTCGATGATGAATGTCGGGGCATTAATTATCCGCGACTCGATTTACAATGGATGTTACTACAATGTTACAATGGATTCTCGTTGCTTCGTTTTTTTTAACAATCCGTTGGGAATATTCTTCGCGTTATCGTCGCGATCGAGCTAGATACGATCTACCATGCGGCGTTTAATTTATTAAATAATTAACCTAATCATTACGCCCGAAGGTTCAGAAACAGTCACGGTCTTATCGCGGATTCTCATGCCCGGTATCGCTGAAATCTTGTCGAACCGTAACGCTTTTCGCTCCGTGTCACGATCAAAGACAAAGAAATCGGTCGGCCACAGACGCGCTCAAATTACGAAACGCACGGGCGTCCTTCGCTTCTTCTGCACGCTCGTAGGTGTGCACGAGATTCAGCTCTACTTATTCGACGAAACAAATGTTGCACGATGTGGAGGCTGATGGTAATTGATTGTCAGTCGCGGGTTGTGGTCTGGTTAACGTTGAATGACAGAGCGGTACATTTGAAATTTGTGTCGATGAAGAAATTCTCAATTAAATCACGATTACGAAAGGATTATTGTTCCACGGACTTGGAAAACGATCGTTTAGGTTCGAATCGATTGTCTTTGAAATTCAGAATCTATGCGTACCTTGAATGTGACGATGACTAATGTTGTCGGGGAATCATCAACGCCAGAGACAGTTATGGTCCTTTCCTCAAAAATAATTCACTGTACAACACTTTGTCACCATAACGCTGGCAAATATATTTGCGACACTGATCAGCCACCGTGTGGCGTCGGGTACCGTCGATTCCACGTAAGTCTCCAGAGAAATCAAGTAGATCGGAACACTGACAAATTCACTTTGTCCCTTGAACAACACAAATCTCGTCGAATGTTCTCACTATTCCGTCCACAATGGCGATCGAACGTTGTCACATCGGTGCGCGGGAAAATCAGGAGAAGACAGCCCTGAAGCTTCACCCCGGCGAACGTCACCGCTAGACAGTTCTCCAAAAACAAAAATAAAAAACCCACTATCATCCGTCTCCTTGTATCCCTGGAAGTGGAGCAACGAAGGTGGTAGATCCGTGGTGTGTCTTTCGCCACTGGTTAAAGGACACTAACCACGAAAATGAAAGAGTCCTA